AATACATTTTCCTCTGTTCTCTTCCTCCTACGACCTGCTCTTTCAAATTTCAGTCTCTTTCATGTTTTTCATGGTTCCCTCAAATACAACTTTGAGAGGGGAGAAGAATAGGGGGTAAAAGAATAACACTTTGAGTATGTTGGATTAAGTAAAACAATAATAAAAGAATGTAAAGATTAAAAACAAAGGTTCTGAGGGAGCCAAGAGGTGGTGGTGGGTCCTGTTTAGCGCGCTCTCTTCCGTAACTGCTCACCCTCCGTGGCTGGCTAGGGTGCTGGCCGGTGTGGGACACTGGCTAAGGAATATCTATTTTAAAAACATTACAGTTGAGTCTGTAAGTCAAGTTGTCCCCAATGTATCAATAAAACCCAAAATGCCACTCCATAAGACTAAGCTCTCCAACATCTAAGGATCTGCTCTAGGTATATAAAATAAACTACCTGCACCCAAGTCTTTGTCTTAGGTCTACTTTTGGAGAGGCAGATAACTCCTATTAATTCAAGCATATGGCCAAATAAGACAGTTTGGATATAAGCTTGAATTGGAAGGCAGCCATTGAAATGAAAATAATTGCAAAGACATGTTCTAACTTTGAGACTGTGAACTTAAGTCCCTCTTCCTCAGCCTACAAAGACTGCAACTATTAGTTGATACCCTTAAGAGCAATTTTCTCCTCTTCCTATCTTCTAAACATCAGAACGATGAAATTCTCACAGGGACCGCCATTTTATTGCTCAATAAAATGCAGTAAAGAAAGGTTACCTGGGCACAAGTGTCTCACTCTTGTAATTCTGGCTACTCAGGAGACTGGGATCCAGAAGATTGAGGTTTGCATAAAGCAAAGCTGGAGGCAGGTTCAAATGGTAGAGCACCAGCCAAGCAAAGCAGCCCAAGCAAGCAGACTAAGAGAGAGTGAAAGCCTGATTTCAAACCCCAGAAACACCAAAAAAAGAAAAATGAAAAAGAAAACTTAACAACAATAAATTAATAGGAGTAGAACGTCAAAGAAAAACCCCTTAACATTATCATATGAATCATCTTGTGTGAGCACAACCGCCAATCCCCTGAGAAAGAGAGCGATTAGCGGACAAAACAAAACCCTTTAGGTTCCGAAAACAAATCTCCTTTGTGTTTTGTTTTTTATGCCAGAACTGGGGCTTGAACTCCGGGTCTGAGTCCGGCCCCTGAGGTTTCCAGGGTCAAGGCTAGTGCTCTACCTCTTGAGCCGCAGCTTTACTTCTGGCTTTTTTGGTGATGAATTGGAGATAAGAATCTCATGGGCATTGCTGCCCTAGCTGGCTTCAAATACCAGTCCTCTGATCTCAGCCTCCTGAGTAGCTCGGGTTACAGGTGTGAGCAAGGGCCCAGCTCCGTGGTGTCTTTGAGGAAAGCTTGGGGACTCCGCATCCCTCCAGGCTAGACACAACCTAACCTGGACTGTGTGTCGCAGGGACACAGCCCCGCCTAGGGCAGCGTGGTTGCTGTTTGGAGCTCTGCCACTTCCTGGCTATGTGACATTAGACAAACTCCTTAACCTCTCTGGGCCTTGGTGCCCTCAAGCTTTAGAAGGAGGCCAAGTATAACATCTATTTAAATTTGTCAGCATGTCGCTGCTACCATACTGGAATAATCCAAGAACTCCTGGTTTATAAGACTTCTTTCCCATTGTTTTAGAAGTGTATCATCCAAATAATGAGCTTTTCTCTCTGACAGAGAAGACATTCAAGAGGCCACACTGCAGTTGCTGTAACCGTCAGGTGGATGGCAGATTGACCACCATCCCACTGCGCCTCTCCATCCTGGGCTCACAGAAAATGAAGACGCTATGGTCACTTGCCTACGGGCTTCACCAGGTCGAACGGGGCAGCAAGCGAGGCAATGCGTGTGGACGTGCGTTAAAGCGGTACCACAGAATGGAAGAATTTTGGAATCGACTAAGACTTAAAATATGAGCATCAAACTTAAACTGGTCTCTCCTACTCCTCAGAAAAGCGCTCTTTAAAGGTGAATGACTCGATTGGGTCTGAACTTCATTAGTCCATGATCTCCTGGGCCGTTATTACTACTGAAAACTATAAGAGTGATAGGATATTTAGCCACTAGCTTGTGTGACCAGTGAACATCCAAAATGTATAACCAGACCGTGTAGAGATGGGCCGTATGTGTAGAGAAATGCATCAGAGTTTAAACCCTGAATGAAAGCAACAATCTCAACTATCTCATGAAAAGTTTTATATTGGGTATATATTGGTTTTACATCTTGTTTGCATAGTATTCCGTTCCCATGTTGATCTAAATATACAATATGAGTCAAATATATGATTAAAATTTCAATGGGGCAAATGGAAAAACGTTAGTTGCCAACATGGCTCCCTGTACAGACCTATGAGAAGGAGCTTTCTTGGACAATTAATGGGTCCATTTCCTAAAAAATACTTGGATCTGGTTGCTGGTGGCTGATGCTGGTAACACTTAGCTACTCAGGAGACTGAGATCGAAGGATTGTGGTTCAAAGCCAGCCGGGGTAGACAAATCTATGAGACTCTTCAATTTGCCAGCAGAAAGCTTAAGGTACAGGTGCGGCTCAAGTGGCAGAGCCCCAGTCTGGAGCAAAAATTGAAAAAAGACAAAAAGCATGTGTGCAAGGCCCTGACTTGAAGCCCAAGGACTGGCACACACAAATAATAGTAAGGACTTGGAAACAGTCTCATGAAATGGAGTTGCTGGAGACCTGTGAGGTGGGAAATGATCAGCTCCTCCTGTTTTGATAGCTCGTCCCCTGCTTGAGAGTTCCCTCTGCCAGAGTGTCAGGAAGCTAAACCAAGATCCTGGAGGGGCAGAAAGAAATAGCAACTTCTATGACCCTTTTGGAGGAAGAGTGGCTGGAAGGAAGCGCCGCTGAGATCCTGGGACGAACGTGTGGCTGAAGAAAACACTGTCGCTGTTGCATTTATGTGAAACCCCAAAAGGCCCCCACGTGTTCACCTCCATGATTGCCAAGCCTGCTTGACCGTTAGCCGCCACCTCAGCCTCGCATGAAAGGGCTGCAAAAACCCCAGGCCGCGCAAAACCTCTTATAGACTGGCACACCCAAGGACGGAAACAGTGGGGGCCCCGGCGGCTAGAGGTCACACGGAGAGGTGCGGGGCGCAGAGCGGCCTCTGACCTGCGTGCTCCTGCTGACCAGCCCTCCCGCCACAGAACATCCCCACATAAAAACAACCCAGCTCCCAGGGCCAAAAAGCCAGCTGCTTCTCAATTCAGGGTGATAGTTAATGTTTTGTACTCGGCCATCTGAGCGCCAGCCATGGCCAACAAATAACTGTGGAAGCCTTGGCTACTTGTGTTGAACGGATCTAATGCCAACCGCAGGATGAATCAGAGAAAAAGAGAAAACTGTTTCACTGCAATATGAGTCATTCTACAGCGTTTAATATTCTGTCCATTTCATTAAAAAGCAGAAGAATCGCTAGCAAATGTTGATTCCTGAATACTAGAGGCTGACAGAACAGCTTAACATTAAAGGAGAAAATACCACTTTTTACTCCAACATCGATCTAATATGAGCAGAAAAAAATCAAATCAAATAGCCACAGAACAGTTACAAATGTAGATTTCATTTGTTGGAATTTCTTTGTGGTTTAAATGTTTAGTTTCAGCCAAATCCTAATACATATATATATATATATATATATATATATATATATATATATATATAAATTACCAGAAAAATATCTTTCTCATAAGGAAGCGGGCAGTAAAGAAAAAATTACATGAAATCTGTTTATTTGCTAATAGAATAATTCTTTTCTAGTATTATCTTCAAGTGGTTGCACAAAGGAGGTGCCATTAGCAAAGCAGTCTAAGAATACAACACATTGATCAATGCCCCCATCGGCATGGCCCCCCACCCGCACCCTCATGATACTTGGAAGTATTTACAATACTACCAAGGAGTATGTCCGACCTCAAAACGCTGAAGGTAAAATTCTGAGGTCTATCCATTGAAGAAAGCCAAAATAAAGTGTTTTTTAAACGGGCTTCTACAATTTTTAAGATTATATTAAAAGCAGGGAAAAATGATTGCAAATACGTGCGCAGAGAGCACAGGGCCGTGGAGCTCCTGGGGGACACTCTAAAGGGAAGAGGGAATCCATTCAGATGAGGTTTTTGTGGGTTCCCTTCCTCCTCCCCACGCCGCCCGGGCGCCCCTGCTTGCACAAGCCACGGTCGCAGTCCGGCTGCGGCAGCTTTTCCCCAGAGTCCGCCTCCCTCTCCCCTCCCCAGCTAGCGCCTCTTCTCGTACGCCCTGGCACTGGCTCTCAGTCACCCCACTGAAGGCCCTGCTCACCCCTTCTTTCCACCTCCACGCACAACAGAAGCCTGCTCCGGCAGGCAACACGCAGAGTGTCTCCTCTGTGCATGAATTATGGAAGGACAGAAATTCTGCAAAAGCAAAGATCTGAACCAAATCAAAAAGCCCTTCACCTACTGCGGGAAGGAACCTGATGCTCACTCCTCCAGTTATCCAGAGATCTTCTTCTCTCAGTTAATGCCAGCCCTACCCTCCAACTAGCTGCCATCCGCCACGCGTCCTCCGGCGGGTGGAAAGGTCACAGTGCAGCGTGACCGGGCCGGGTCAGCTTCCCCTTGCTGGCCCTCTTCCAGCACCAACCGTCACTGTCATGTCAGGAAGCGGTCAGTTAGAGATGGCAAAAAACAGCTTCTCAGCTGGGCCCGGGAGGGGATCGATGATGCCAGCAGAGGGGGCTTTGCCTGCCCAGTGGGTGAATTGCGGACCAGGCACCACTGCAGTCCAGCATCTCACCTCAGACACGCTCCGACTATAGACGTCCTCATGAGACGAAATGCACTTCTGCACCGTACACGTCTGCTTTTGGGGCATCCGCTTATCTAAAACCCCCTGCCCTGTGGTGCCTTGGACGTCCAACCCCCGCCCGGGCAGTGTGGGAAGAGCAGGGAGCAGGGAGAAAAGAGCAATGGAGACGGGACAAGGCCGCGTGCAGCCAGCGCGGGTTCCTGGGTGAGCAGCCCCTGGGACCCGGGAAAGGCGGACTGGAGTTGGAGGGTCCATGAGGGAAGGGGGGCTAGCCAAGGGAAGGGGGCTAGCCAAGGGAAGGGGGGCTAGCCAAGGGAAGGGGGGCTAGCCAAGGGAAGGGGGCTAGCCAAGGGAAGGGGGGCTAGCCAAGGGAAGGGGGGCTAGCCAAGGGAAGGGGGGCTAGCCAAGGGAAGACCGACTTCCATGCAAACAGGCCGGTGTGAGCTCGCTCCACCCACAGCATCCCCGGTTGGCTCCTGCTAGGCTGATGTATTATAAATCCATCTTTCCCAACATGAATGAGGGCCACTGGCTGCAATGGATAAATAGCAGTATTAAAACACCATCAGAGAAGATTCATCACACTCAATATCTAATTGAGGAGGAAAAATGCCTTTAAGCTTCATAGGTGTTTTCTATTTAGTCTGGGGACAAATACCCTATTAATTGACTAGATAAGTACTCGGCAAGATCGATGACGCTGCCAGAAGTTTAATTCCTTCTAGCTTCATTCATTCCATTTCTGCCTAATATCTGGTCATTAAACTATGTTATGAAACAGATCTTATATTCATTTGTAAAAGAAAAGTCCTCAATGGGAAGTGTGATCCTGCAATAACCTTCCCGTGTGTGCATGTGTGTGTGTGTGCGCACGTGTGCATGTGTATGGGTGCGTGTGTGTGCATGTGTGTGGGTGTGCATGTGTGTGCACATTGTGTGTGTGCATGCGTGTGTGTGCATGTGTATGGGTGTGTGGGTGTGCATGTGTGTGCATGTGTATGTGTGTGCATGTGTATGGGTGCGTGTGTGTGCATGTGTGTGGGTGTGCATGTGTGTGCACATTGTGTGTGCGCGCACATGTGTGTGCATGTGTATGGGTGCATGTGTGTGCATGCATGTGTGTGCGTGCGTGTGTGTGTGTGTGTGTGTTGTGTTGGGGGAGGGGCAGCCTTCTCTCAGATCACCAAGTGGGCATTTGGTTCCCAGGCTGATTTAAGAGCCCGTCTGCCCTCAGTGCGCGCGGGCACCGTATTTGGGGATTGTCTTCTCTGGCGTGGAAAGAGACTCCAGTGTGGACGACAAAAGCCCCCTCCACGCGGGAGCGCCACACACGGGGCCTTCCGTTGGAGGTGTGTGCTGCTGACCCGGAGCTGCCGGCCTCCAAGCCCTCCACCCGCATCCTCCATGAGCCTGCAGCGGCTGCCCAGCCTCCAAGCCCTCCACCCGCATCCTCCGTGAGCCCGCAGCGGCTGCCCAGCCTCCAAGCCCTCCACCCGCATCCTCCGTGAGCCCGCAGCGGCTGCCCGGCCTCCAAGCCCTCCACCCGCATCCTCCGTGAGCCCGCAGCGGCTGCCCGGCCTCCAAGCCCTCCACCCGCATCCTCCGTGAGCCTGCAGCGGCTCTGGACGGCTGCCCGGCCTCCAAGCCCTCCACCCGCATCCTCCGTGAGCCCGCAGCGGCTGCCCGGCCTCCAAGCCCTCCACCCGCATCCTCCGTGAGCCTGCAGCGGCTCTGGAGCTGCCTGGCCTCTAAGCCCTCCACCCCCATCCTCCGTGAGCCTGCTGCAGCTCCAGAAAAACATCAGCACTGGATCTCCTTCTTAGCACCAAGGCAAACATAATCAGTTCAAGGAATGGCACTGCCCTGAGATCTGAGGATCATGGTTCAAAGCCAGCTGGACAGCAAAGTTTGTGAGACTCTTGTCTCCAGTTAATCACAGAAAAAGCCAGAAGTGATGCTGTGGCTCAAGTGGTGGAGTGCTAGGCTTAAGCAAAAGAAGCTCAGGGACAGTGGCTAGGCCCCAAGCCCCAGGCAAAGAAGAAAGAGAGAGAGAGAGAGAGAGGGAGGGAGGGTGGGAGGAAGGGAGGAAGGAAGGAAGGAAGGGAGGGAGGGAGGGAGAAAGGAAGGAAGGAAGGGAAAAGAGAGAAGAGAAAGAAAGAAAGAAAGAAAGAAAGAAAGAAAGAAAGAAAGAAGAGAGAAAGAGAAAGAAAGAAAGAGAAAGGAAGGAAGAAAGAAAGAAAGAAAAAAAGAAATCAAGCGTAAGTGCTATTCCTCCTAGCTGAAGACCTGAAGATCTTCATGGGAATTGTGGGCATGGCACCAAGGTCTTTCCAACAAGGACATTTTAAAAGGAAACACTCAGCCTTTTCTTTTCTTCCTTTTTGTGTTTGTCCGTGTCCTGGGTTTGAACTCTGGCCCTCACACAGGCAAGGCAGATGCTCGACCACTGGAGTCAAACTCCGGCCCTTCCAGCTTTTGCTCTTAGATGGGGTCTCTCCTGTGTGCCAAGGCCAGGCTGGACCGTGATCCTCTGCCTGGGCCTCCCGCATAGCTGGTGACCGAAACCTACCAGTACAGGCAGCTTCTTACTTCTGACTCGGGGCGGTCTCCTCCTGATTTCATGAGTTGCCAGGATTACGCCTCCTAATCTGTCATCTGAGGAGCTGGGGCTCCAAAGAGGAGCCACCATCCCAGGCTCCAGCCCTCTCGTGAAAGCCTGACACGTATGCCGGGAAGGGGCGGCTGGAGCGTGCACTACGGCCTGTGGAAACAACAGCCAGGAAACACACAAGTCAGACACTACCCCACACCGCCCTCCTGGTGTCTAGCACGGGTTATCCCTTTACGCCAGACTTTCGTTTCGTTTTGTTTTTGGTCTGTCGTGGGGCCTGAACTCAGGGCCTGGGCGCCGTCCCTCAGATCTTCAGCTCAAGGCGACCGCTCGACCACCTGAGCCACAGCGCCACTTCCGGCTTTTTCTGCTTATGTGGTGCTGAGGAATCGAACCCAGGGCCTCATGCGTGCAGCGAGCGCTCTGCCACTGAGCCACCTTCCCAGCCCCTAAGGGATTGGGGTCTGGGGAAGAGGGTGTGTGACTATGATCAGGATATGTTCCTGCGCATGTGTGAAATGCTCCACGAAGCCCAGCATTTTTGCATGAGGTAATGCATGCTGACAGAATCCGTGAGTTCTTCGTTTTTCCCAAGTGTCCTCAGCATCTTGCTGGAATAACAGACTCAGCCCAGAGCCGTGGGCGACGCGAGGCCTCCACCCTGTGGGTCTCCGTTCACCTTCGCACGCCTTCATCCGTTCACATTACTCATCCCTGAGAAGCTGCTCACTATGCCCAGTCCACGTCCCGTGGTTGAGCTGGGCCAAGCACACGCCAGGCCATGGCTGGACACTAGGGTTCTCCGGAGGACAGCTCCTTCCACAATCAAACGGCAACGTGCTGGCAGCTTCCCGGCCCTGCCGGTTCTCCACCCATCCCCCCCTTCTGGTTCTTCACAGGCTCGCACCGGGCACACTCCAGTGGCCGTTTCTGTCTGTCCCTTGCCCCTGGTTTATGTTAGAACCAGGGCCTCCCGTCTGTGCCCAGCTGGCCACGCTTCGCCCCCACGTGTGACCTGCAGGCCCATGGGTCCCTTCCGCTACTTGCTGCCCGGTGCCCGGCCGACCTTGCAGTCCTGCCCGCCCCACACGCTGGTCTCACACACCGCGTCATTAATACCTCCAGCGCGCTAATGGATGCTCCATGCATGAACGCATTAATGAAATGTGTTATTGTTTTCCCTCACAGGACATTAACAATCTACCCCCGCCGAGTCCTCGGAGCCCCGCAGAGCTGCCGAAAACCACTTGCTGTCAAATGAGCCCGCCATTCCACCTGGGCAGCTTTAACTTCAGGTTTATCACTGACGCGCCACTCGCGGGGGAGAAGAAGGAGCCTGGTACCGAGCGCAGAGGGGGCGAGGCGTGGAGACACAGCCCTGTGCAGGACTGGGCAGGGTCTGGCCATCCCAGGGACGGCCCGTTTGCTTCTCCTTTGTCTGTGGCCAAGGGTTTGAATAGAAGCCGGTGTTGCCCGGCTTTCTCCCGCAGGCCAGCCCAGGGGCTGCTTTTCTGCCGGCACAGCTGACATATTAAGAGGGATTAAAGTTTCTGTACACAGGCGAGGTTTAAATTAGCTTCCTGAAGCCTGGAAGGAGCCCTCCCCGCTGAGCTGCAGGCCCGGCCCGGCCGCACAGGCTGCCCAGACAGAGCAGGGCGCTGCTCTGCCAGCTGTGCTGCAGAATCCCAGGAAAAGCAGAGGTAATTCCCCGTCCACGTCCCGCAGCCAGAATGTCTTCTGTAATTAAAATGAAAGCTTTCCCCACAGGTCCTCAGAGGCGCCTCCTGGAGACGCAGATTTCCCTTTTCCTGTGTAATTAAGCACAAATTGTAAGGTGTTGGGCTTTGGTGGAGGAGCCTGGACCGGCCAGCGGTGCCCCTGGGCACCCGAGGAAGCCTTTGTGTGCGGTTGGCTAGAGCAGATGCTAATTGCTCTTGCTCTGCCATTAAGCACTCACCCCTGCTGCGAGAGGCCGGCCGGGAAGGTGGAGGGAGAGGTGCGGCTCAAAGGCCACAAACAGAATCACCTGTGTGCGGCACCGGCACCGCCGCCCAGCCGGGAAGACCATTGTGCCGGCCATGAGTCCCCCAATTACCCCCACTCATGCCGGGGGGGGGGGCAGGCTTAAGAGGAGGTGTGCACTGCGGTGTCTGAATGTTCCAGGTCACTAAGCCTGTACACCGAACACCAGCTCTTAATCACAATTAAGCATCTAATCAGAAACTCCCGGCTTGGGAGCAAAAGCCAGGGCTTCACTCTTTCCTGGGCTGCTGCTGGCTACGGGAGACATTTTGTTGGCTGACCCCAGGAGCCACACACTCTTGGTATGCCCAAGTCCTCCCTCCGCACCTTCTCTGCCACTTGCCTTTGTGTGAGACCAACCGCCCTGGTAAGTCAGCCCAAACAGGCCCGCGGGCACGGTGGCCATATAACCGCACCTCTTTTTAAAAACCTAACAGGGAGACTGGATGGGGGATCAATGGAACGAGGTTGGTCATGAGCTCAAAGTCGTGGTACAAGATCTAGAGACTTATTATACAGTTTTCCTACTTGGGCGTCTGTTTGAAATTTTTGGTAACAAAGTTTGAAAGTAAAAAATAAAAAAGGAAGAAACTGCTAAACTTTTGATAAAGTGTAAAATGTTCATCTCAGTGTTTGGTTCAAATGTTGGTCCACATATCTCAAGGAGGAAAATAACAAGTATATAAAAACTTGTGTGCTGGAGTTGGGCCTTGGCTCAGTGGTAGAGCATCTTTCCATCAAAGATGAAACCTTGGGCTCGCTCTCTCTCTCTCTCTCCCCCCATCAGTTGGTCGTGGGGCCTGGGCGCTGTCCCTCAGCTCAAGGCTAGTGCTTTACCACTTGAGTCGCAGCGCCACTTCCGGCTTTTTCTGCTTATGTGGTGCTGAGGAATCGAACCCAGGGCCTCATGCATGTGAGGCGAGCACTGTACCACTGAGCCACCTTCCCAGCCCCTACTCTCTCTTGCTAATCAACCAGACTTGAAGGGTGAAGGTGTGACTGCAGTTGTAGTCCATTTGCCTGACCTGCAGAAGACCCTGTGTTCAGACTCCAGCACTGCCCCAATCGGACTGTGTGCTGTCGTTTTCAGAAAGTGTGTGTTTGTGTAATTGCATATACGCATATAAACAAAAGCTATCCATCTGCATGCCTCATGTACAGAAGCATTCATAGAGACAGACAGACAAACTGACGTGGATTCTGACACTTTTCATACATGTGAGCTCCACTAGTGCACACGTCCAATATGGACGTTCACGTTCACGTTGCCTGGTCGGGGTCATTTTCACTATGATTTGGATGTGCCTTGTCCCACAAAGGCCACTGCTGAAGGCTTAGACCCTACAAGGCCGTCCGTCCAGGTGGCCTCACCTGTAAGAGGGGGGCGGTGGGCTAGGGCCTCAGCCTGCCGAGCCATTCATGCTGGCTGTGGGTCCCACAAGAACAGGCCGCTACCGGCAGTGAGCTGGGCCTCTCCCCAGCACTCTGCTCCTGTCTCATCAAGTGACCTCTCCGTGAGGCCCCACCAGCCAGCCCATACTGCTGTGAGGCGGCCAGCCCATACTGCTACGAGGCGGCCAGCCCGTACTGTGAGGCGGCCAGCCCGTACTGTGAGGCGGCCAGCCCGTACTGCGAGGCGGCCAGCCCATACTGCGAGGCGGCCAGCCCGTACTGCTACGAGGCGGCCAGCCCGTACTGTGAGGCGGCCAGCCCGTACTGCTGCGAGGCGGCCAGCCCGTACTGCGAGGCGGCCAGCCCATACTGCGAGGCGGCCAGCCTGTACTGCTGTGAGGCGGCCAGCCCGTACTGCTGTGAGGCGGCCAGCCCATACTGCAAGGCGGCCAGCCCGTACTGCTACGAGGTGGCCAGCCCGTACTGCGAGGCGGCCAGCCCGTACTGCTGCGAGGCGGCCAGCCCGTACTGCGAGGCGGCCAGCCTGTACTGCTGCGAGGCGGCCAGCCCGTACTGCGAGGCGGCCAGCCCGTACTGCGAGGCGGCCAGCCCGTACTGCTGCGAGGCGGCCAGCCCATACTGCGAGGCCTAGGCCTTCCACAACTGTCTGGCAAAATCCTCTTTTTTCCGTGAAGGAGTGGAGCATTTTGTTATAGCACCAGAATATGGACTAAGACTCTCTCTTGGCCTCGCCAAACGCCTCTCTCTAGTTCTCTGGTCAATTCTGTGTGGATGAGTTCCACAAGACCTCTGGCTCCTGGACCATGGAGAATGGCCACAAAGAGACCGCGAGGAGGGAGAGAGTGGTTCTCTGCTCTCTACCTGCTCCCTGACGCGCCTGGCTGGTCTCTCACTGGACGCCGCCGCGCTTCTCCAGGGCTCTGCTCTCCCCGTCCCGGCTCCATCTGGATTCCAAGAAAGCCGCGCATCCATCTGCTCGCTCTCCCCCCTTTGGGCACAAAGGTTGTGTCAGCTCAGCTGACAGCATCCCCACCGTCACGCACAGACCCTCGTATACACACTGCGCACACAGCTTCGTGCACCAGGTGTTTTCCAGTAGGCTCCTAATTCACAACATCTATAAATTAAACGATAAATGATCCCACACAAATATTGTAAGTAGAGAGGGGGTGTCAGAGAGAGAGAGAGGGACAGAAAGAGAGAGGGAGAGAGAAAGAGAGGGAGAGAGAGAGAGAGAGGGAAAGAGAGAGGGAGAGGGAGAGAGAGGTCTGATGTTGCACAGTGCATTGTGTCTTAGGCAGATCCAAACCTGGAACAGTATGGAGAGAAAGGAACAGAGAAATGCATCTTGGGGAAATCTCCTCTTTCTAACTTTCCCCACCATCAAAAGTAGACACCACGATGTGTCACTATTAGGGCTAGGTTGCGTCTCCTCCATTAAGCAGTTAGAGTTCTGCTTTCTTGATCTTTGATTCACATCGCCACCATTGGGCATAGAAGCCACCCCTAACGGCGTTGGTAAGTGAGCGTCGGGGGGTCACCGCGCTCCATGGCCAGCCCCTAAGCTGCGTGCTCCTCACCTCCGACTCACCATCTGGCTCCAAAGACAGCACCAAGTTCAAAAGTGACCTTGGTGCCTAGGAAAGAATTCTCCTCTTCCGAATTGCTCCCATCTGTCTGTCTCCGACCAACAGAAGGTCTTGAGGCTGAGACACACCTTCATTTGTTGAAGGGGGAGGGAGTGTGGAGCAGATGGTAAATTAAGGCCCTAAAGCTCATTAATTCCTAATGGAGGCTTCCTCCTGGATGCAATTAGAACAAAGAGGAGGAAGAGCCAAAGGAGGGCTGTTTGGGAACTAAAGAAGGCAGCTGGAAGAGATATGCAAGGTATATAAGCCCTCCGGAGCTTTCCATGAGACAGGATAAGAATATCCTCGCTTCCCAATTACACACTTCCTTACAACCAGCAAAACACTCCTGCTCACGCCCACTGTTCCAGAGAACTCTCTGAACGTGACCGTGAAACACATAGAAAATTGGGATTTTTCTGAAGGATTTAGTCTTTCCGTGACCATGAAGGGAGATGACCTTCAAATCTATTCTGAAGGTCAAGCGCCAGTCAGCACGCTGACCTGTCTCACTTCCACGCCTTCCGGTGGGCTCCGCAGAGACGCGTGTGCACCAGCTCACATCTTGTGCTCACATCTCACAGATGTGAGTTTACATGGAAGCTGAGCCAGGGTTGACTGTGAGCCTGGAAATAGCAAGGCTCTCCCTAGGAGACCCAGCAATGCCGGTCCATCTTCCCACTGCCCCATACACAATAACCGTACGTGCATGGCCGTTCACAGCCATGGAGAACGAAGCCCTGTGCTGTGGTCTAAGAAGTGCACAGTGTACATCTCAAATGTCACCGTGAGTGAGAGGACTTCACTGTTAAGAGCTCACTAGCCAGCTTGGGTACAGTGTGGTGTGTGTGTGTGTGTGTGTGTGTGTGGTGTGTGTGGTGTGTGTGTGTGCGTGTGTGTGTATGTGGTGTGTGTGGTGTGTGTGTGGTGTGTGTGTGGTGTGTGTGTTGTGTGTGTGGTGTGTGTGTGGTGCGTGTGTTGTGTGTGTGGTGTGTGTGAGGTGCGTGTGTGGTGTGTGTATGTGTTGTGTGTGTTGTGTGTGTGTATGTGTGTGGTGTGTGTGTGTGGTGTGTGTGTGTGCCATCCTGGCCTTGAACGCAGGGCCTGGATGCTGTCCTTGAACTTTCTCTGGCTCAAGGCTTCCTTTGCTCTTGAACCACAGCTCTACTTCCAGCTTTTTGGTGGTTTATTGGAGGTAAAAGTCCTACAGACTTTCTGGCCTAGACTGGCTTTGAACCGTGATCCTCAGGTCTCAGCACCCGAAGCTGGAATTACAGCGGGAGCCCCCGACATGTGTGAGGCCCCAGTCCGCCCAAGCAGAATCCTACTTCTCAGCGAGGGCAACTTGCTGCTTGACGCCCTTTTCCTCTCTCAAAGGCACGTTGCTGACCTAATGTAAAGGCAGGTGGGAAAAGCCGGGGACGTGTTTGGCCTGCCTCAGCCGCCTGCAGCCATCTAGTCGTCAGATCTGCCCGCCCGCCCCAGGAATCACACAACCCACGGTTTTATCACCTGCGGTCCAGATGGCACCGCCGACACCTGCCACCGCCTCGGCTGCAGTCTCGGGTCATCGTCCAGGACCTGTATGTGTAACAGAGTTCTCAACACAGCGCCGTCTGTAGTACCTGTGACCCTAGAGAAACGCCATTAACGATACCTCAGAGAGTAACTGCACTCGTCAACTCTTTTACGCATCTTAACTTCACCAGACAGGTTGGCTGTTACTGACACATGCAATATAACTAGAACTGAGTCCTATGCTTTCATCACAACCATTGTATGAAACCATTGTTTCATGAGAGTTGATCTTTAAAGCTTATTGAACGTCTTCCCTTGATTAAAACCTGTCTTTCAAACACAACTTCCTGAAGTGTTATTAAGGTCTGTACATAGTCCTTTGCACTGTAGTTTATCTCTGATATTGTAGCTAATAAGTAGCCAAAAAGGAACAACTAATTCTAAATTTTAGCATGGAAATTTGCCTATTCTTAGATGTTTTAGGATGAAAATACAGTACACTTAATCATTAAAATAGTTACCTCTCCTTAAAGAAACCATGAATATCACGGCATGGTAAATAATAAGTCTTCTAAATAATATTTTCTCTCAAACCAATTATAAACCCAGTAATGTTTGCTGTCCCCAAATTTTAAGACATCTTTGAGTGAATGTATTTGTCCCAGAAGAGCAGTTTGAATACATAAAGGAAAACATGCTTTGACGGCTTTTTACTATGATACAGTAGAAAACAGCAAGCTCACATCTTGAGATGATAGCCTTGTTCTGAAGATGGATGGGGAAAGGAAAGTTGGGAACCCGCCCCTCCTTCACCTGCAGAGAGAGCTCCCAGGTCCGCCCCAGACTTACCCCGGCCTGCGGAAGCCAGTCCTGACCCCCAGAATTACCTGGGCCTGCGGACGCTAGTCCTGACCTCCAGACTTACCCCGGCCTGTGGACGCCAGTCCTGACCCCCAGACTTACCCCGGCCTGCGGAAGCCAGTGCTGACCCCCAGACTTACCCCAGCCTGCGGAAGCCAGTCCTGACCCCCAGACTTACCCCGGCCTGCGGACGCCAGTCCTGACCCCCAGACTTACCCCAGCCTGTGGAAGCCAGTCCTGACCCCCAGACTTACCCCGGCCTGCGGAAGCCAGTGCTGACCCCCAGACTTACCCCAGCCTGCGGAAGCCCATCCTGACCCCCAGACTTACCCCGGCCTGCGGAAGCCAGTGCTGACCCCCAGACTTACCCCGGCCTGTGGACGCCAGTCCTGACCCCCAGACTTAGCCCGGCCTGCGGAAGCCAGTCCTGACCCCCAGACTTACCCCGGCCTGCGGATGCCAGTCCTGACCTCCGTGAACAGTGACCACGGCGCTCACTGCCTTCCACACACGCAGTGCTGGCGGCTTGCAGTGAAGCAGCCTGAGACGCAAGCTAGACTGGCAGAGGGAGGCTGTGTGTCATGGCTGGAGTAGAATACTCACTTGGTGGACATTTCCGGAAGTTCGCAAAGGGCGCCAAGTCCCAGCATAAAGAAGGCTTTTGCTCCCAAAGGCCAGAGTGTTCCTCAGAATTCACGGGCCTTTCCTCTGCTCTTTTCCAAGGAGCCCTGACACCTTAAAATCAGGAGTGAAGCCGACTCCTAGCGACTTTCAAGGAAGAGCAATGTCGGAGTTCCCAGTCAACCCCGGTGCGTCCATCTCATTTATTTTGTGAAGTTAACATTTATCGTGTTGAAAGTCAGCTCAGGTCTACCTGACTGTTTTTCTGTTAGAAACAAGGAATCATCCGTTGCTGAGTGGATGACTCATATGCCAGGCATTGTGTTAGAGGGAGGGATCCAGAACAGAAAAAGACATAACAACTCCCCTTCCATGGTTCTTATTATTCCAGCACTAAACTGTTCCATTCTCAGTAACATCCTTATTTCTTGTAAGAAATTGGGTCAGCTTTGATCAAAGCTAGTTTTGTTGGAATTTAATTCCTTCAACAACAAAAAATTCAGCTACAAGGAAACCAGCGTCAGATCTGGTTTCACAATCTGACAGAGATCGGGCTGATTCTCCTGTAGCGTTCTTCATGTTCCCTGGAAAGATGTCCACTTCAGTTCTATAGGAAGAGCAGAGATGCACAGCCCTGAGAAGAAAGAAATAATCAGACCTTTTCAGAATCCTTGATTCTAATTAACTGAGGACAAAATAGTTACGTACTGCCACTATATAAAACTATCCACGAATGATTTGAAGCCCGTACAGGCCGAAGACCGCCATTGCCGTCAAGACGTGATTGTTAGTCGTCCAGACTCAGGATGCATGGCCATGACCATTTTCTTTTCCTTATTACACTGAGGATTTTGTGGTACGTCAATGTAAATTTGGTAAAAGAACAAGTTAATGTAACACTTTTGCAAATAATGCAACATATTCTTTGTAGAAACATCCATTCTCTGGATTCTTCATCTTCTAATTCTTCTCGATTCCTATGATGCTGCCTCAGTAGAGCACT